ACATTTTCTGTATTGGCTTTTCATTTCCTATTTTTAGGTTGTATTTAATCTCAAAAAGTGGGTTTGAACAGCTCTGTTTAATCAGCTCAGTAATAAAAAAGCAGCAACAAATGAAGCTTGACTTTATCTTTATCTTGTGTGAGCTTAAGCATGATAGTTAATGTGAGAATTATAGTAGGGAATTTAATACCTACACTATACACTCTGATAAATATTCTGCCCTTACAATGTCAGTAGTGCATTTGTGCTAAGTGTGTTTTGAGGCAGTAGCTATGCTTAGAGGACATGCTCTGAAGCTTGTTTACAAGTGTTAGTAGCTTGTGCATCACAAAATAAGAGAGTAAATCCACTAAAGCAGCTATATACCCCATTGCCTCAAAGGGATATATGTAATTTAGGGGATAAAAAAAGTGCCAACAGTGCTCTGTGACACAAAAAATCCCAACCAAGAGGAAGCGTTTGATTAAACTGGAGACGAGTCCTCATAAACAAAGGGGGAAGGAAATAGTTGGCAGCAATGTCAATGTGGCAAACCAAGAAGGACTTTTACAGTGACAGCAGCTTCATCAGCTTTTCATGTTGTTGTTTCGGAACAATACGTACTGAAGATATGAATGTGCTGCATAAATATTATTGTCAGCCATGACTATCTACCAGCACAGCTGTTAGAGTTGCTTTACTTAAAAAAAAAATGGAAAGCCTTTTTTTTATATACCATTGTTTCAGCAGCATTATTCAGACTTTAATAATCAAATAATATTCACAGCACATTTTCACTTTAGATGGGTTAGCAAGCAGAGAACAAAATATTCTTTTTTTTTTTTTTGTCATTAAACTCTGCTGTAAAGGGAAAAAAAATCTTTATGTCACTTATTGGTGAATAAAAGGTACCTATAAAGCAAACTATCCAGTAACTATAACTCCTGAGTAAAGATAAAGGCTATAGAGGTGTGGAAATGCCTCAGTTTTAAGATGCATCCTGTTGATGAACATATACCTGTGATATATTCATAAATTAAACGGATTCATTCATTTTTCTGGACTGAATAATATCGTGCGTTGAAATTAATTAAATGTAACGTGAGGCGTTAATTTTCTTTGACCCATCAAATGAATGCGGTCATTTATTAACAGAATCAAAGTTTAACATCAAACATTTACATTAATTGGTCAAATTGATTTCAACAACAACATAATTAATTAGCAAGTTTTACAAGGAGGAAACCATATGTCCATGATTTCCCCATTTCAAGCATTACAACAGACATTTCTGAAAATATCTGGATATTCACTGGCAAGATATGAGTTTAAAGATGGAAATGAAGTTTAAATGGAGAGGAAAAGATGGATGAGGGAAATGTGTCAGTATCAGAACGGCACGCTCCGTTGAGATCCCAGCTTCCTCCTCGGTACACTTAGGTGGTATAACTCGACTCTTTACCTGTAGCAGGTGTCTCCACTGGTACGGAGTTCCATTTAACGCACCCTTTCAGCGTCTCCGTAGGAACAGCTGTGAATCGTCCGAAGTAGTGACGGTGTTCCGTCCGACACAGGTTCACCTCTCGGTTGGGCTCACATGAGTTGTGAGTCCGTCAGAGTTCCACTCAGATGTGGAAGATTTCATAATTCCCACGAGACTCGGAAGAACTCCGGATCATGTCTGGAACCTCCTGAACTCTCCAGCAATTCTTCTGTTCGGTTTGCTCTCCGAACTGAACTCCTCTCCCACCGCACTCGACTGGGCTCGACCGGGCTCGACTGCTCGACTCTGGTTTGAACTAGGAAGTGCCGACATTTAAAGAGTTCTATTTCCGGTTCATTTGGGAAGTTCCTGATTGGTCGATCGACCAGACAGGGGTGTGTTTTTGTGACGTAAGAGGTCACTAGAAGTCAGAAAAACAGAAAGAATGTTTTGGAACAGACTGAAGATGTTTTTTAGACAGACGAGAGAAATGTTTAGGCGAGTTGGGGGAAAACAGGTGCCAGCTTCTCTATTTACGTCTGAGAGGATTTAAAAACATGACAGTTCGTTCCAACAACTTGTTTTGCGTTTGACTCCGACATTTGACCGACATCACAACTTGCTCATTTCAGACAGAAAATCAGAAAATGCATGAATTACTCCGTAACATATTCTAACTTGATCTCTACTTTGAATGAGGATTAAAAAAAAATCATTAACTGTTTCACAGTTGATTTAAAATGAGTAGTTCACTTCAACATTTAAAAATGGTTTGAACTAAACACACTTTGATTATCAAAACATTTGTAAAATAGTAATGATAATAAAAAAGAGAGTGTTCTTTCAATTGATCAGTGCAGGACACTTAGGAAGTCTCTGGATGAACTTAATCTTGTGTTTCTGGACTCAAATCAATGAAATACAGTTCTTGTCCCAGGAAGGCCCTCAAGGCCAGATTTGAGACCTGAGGCTTAGTTCACTACAATCCTCATGCAAGCATGAAAGATTCAACATAGATACTGTTTAAAACTGAAACTTTTCAGCCCTACTTAAAATAAAAATCCAGACTTCTAACAGTATTTATTAATCAATGCAAATCCTGAAAATGCTTATTAAAGTTTATATTAAACATTAATAGGCTTGTGTGGGTCCCTATACAAGTGGTGCCAGAGTTTGGTTCGGTAGTAAGTCGGACCCCTTCAGGGTGGGAGTTGTACTCCACCAGGGCTGTCCGTTGTCACTGATTCTGTTCAGACAGAGCTTCTAGTTTACGTATCATCCAGTTATATATATCCAATATATAAGTTATATATATCCAATTTGAAATAAGTTGGCCTGTCCAAGGCCAGTGGGGAGGCCAAATTCAGATTAACAACAATTGTTTGAATCGTTAGACTCTGTTTTCTGTCTGCCTTCAAATCTGCTGGTACACTCAATGGCAAATCCAAACATCCAGAATTAGTGGACATTCCACTCAGTTTGTGCTCAATTTAGCATTCTCCAAGATTGGATACTTTATGCCGGTGAGTTCCAGGAGCTGCAAGTTGCTACTATTCTCAGAAATTGCGGCCAGCTTGCGGTTGAGCTCCGTAACCATATGACTTTGAGAGCTCAAGACACGGATTAGTCCTTCACATAAGGCTGGCAGCTTTACCATGCCCATGCCCGAAACTGCTGCCAATGTCTTCATAATTTGTCAATATCCAAGGTATCCACCGATTCCAAAAAGCAGAAACCCAGCTATTGTCACGGTCGGGCGGTGGTTGAGACCCAAATGCAAGCAGCACTCTTACATTC